ATTTCAATTGCAGATTGTAATCAAAGTTTCATTATAATATTTCTGGATTATAGTATTAGACTCCCGAAGCATAATACCCCATGCCCCAATTTCACATTTATCTTCATGTTTTTTATGTCTCTTATCAAAATAACTACCTCTCTTTCTATGATAACTTGATTTTGAATCGTCATAACCATCACATGTACTATCTTTTGCATATTCCATAGCTAACTCATCGGTAAGGTTATAAAGAATATCTCCACAACCATTCTGAATTGTCCAACCATAATCCCAGGTACCCGGTTTTTGAAAGCCATACTGATAAGTACCAGTCAACCATACCTCACCATTTTGGTCTTGGTAAAGTGACATCTGACCCTTTATGTCCATTTCAAAATTAGCAGAGAGCAAAGCATTTCGGCACATTTTTTTTGGTTTATCTTCTCTTTTATTAAGGTTAAATCTAGCCTCCGAAAAGGTGACCATGAATATGGTCAAAATAACGAGGAAAAGAATTTTTTTTAAAAACATTGTTGGTGTTGAATTATTTTAAAACGTTGTAATTGAATTATTATATTTATAAATACATTGGTTGAAACGATAAAAATTTTCTGGGAAAAAAATGCACTTTATATATTCATTTTTTGTTGTAATTTATCAAATCGAATTTTTTTTTTAATTGGCTTTTCAGATACAATAGATAAAATCTCGTTTTATGATAACGTGCGTTTATTACAAAAGAAATCTGTATAAAATAATCAAAGTTATCAATGAAGGTACTAAAATTATAAAGTTCTAATATTAAATCTTAATATAAAAATATATGATACCATATAAACTAATAAATCAAAAAAGAAATACTCTACCAAATTTCGTTGTATATATTCCTTTTAAAAACATTGCATATTTATGTAATTTTCTAAAAACCGTTAGGTATGTTTTAATTTTTGACTCCATTTATTTTTTTTTAATAATTTAAAAATAAAATTTATTGATTTACTTTTACATAATAACAGCTAGATAAAATATGCAGGCCTAAGCCCAAAAATTCGATATTTATAAAGTACATTGGTCAATGGCATAAATGGCATAATGATAAATGGCGGTCTACAATTAAGGAAACCACTATTTTTAGATCTAATTGATCTAACTTACATTATAATATACATACGTACGTACGTATGTATTTGCGCACTCAATATGCATTGATGCGCACATAAGTATGTACATATGACTTAATACGCATTGATGCTATGCATCCACGTTGAAAATTTCTTCGATTTCTTTCGTTTTTCAGTGTTATGAATTTTTTATTTGCTAACTTATATATGTCAATGAGTCACTTAGCTTAGTTTGAATTGTATTGAATTATAGTAAAGAAATGATTAACTATTCATTAGCTTAGTTTGAATTGTATGGAATTATAGTAAAGAAATTATTAACTATTCATAAATTGTGAATAATCTTAATAAATTTACGATTATAGACTATTCTCATTAGTGAAAAATTGCCAATATTATAACCAATTTTATATAATTCGAGTTAACAAATTTCCAACTTAATTGATAATTGCCTAACGTAACATATGATGATATAGTTTAATTTGTGTTTAGATTAATAATACAGATTATGCGCATAATTTTAAGTTCAACATTTCAATAACAACTCTTTCGTCATTTGAATAATATTTATCTATATAATTATATAAACCGTTAATATAAAATAAAATCCATTTTTATTAAAACGTATCTACGGTATTTACACTTATGTAAAAAGAATTATTTTTAAAGACCTATAGTTATATGTCGCATTAAAATTGTAAGTCCATAAACCACGATTTTAATATTAATGCAAATTTAATAGCAGTTTTCAATATCTTACAAGTCATATATTATCATTTTCATGACTCAAAAACCTTGTCTTTATCCTTATCATAATACGGTTCTTGCTTGGATAATGATATCCCCAATGCTAAAAATATGTTAATTTTATGTTGATTACTGTGAAACAACTGAAATACTAATAATTATTTTTATTGAAATTTTGATTTTAAAGAATATAAGATTAATGTTATATGAATATCTAATGTTTATTTGAGTAATACACAATCTTACCTCAGTGTAAAAAAGTAAAAAAATTGTAATAGTTTGCCGTAAAGGTACCAAAACAAAATAAGCTAAGATAAAATTGAAGAGTGATAAAATTTTGCACTACACTGGTATTAAAAGTTATTTTTAACTAAATAAACTTGTAATATATAGTATAAATAATTATGTAGTAATTAAGTTATTACTTGTACTATATATTACAAGGTATTATTTAGTTAAATATGATTTTTTTTAACAAATGCTATATATTTTATATATTAGACATGAAGAACAGAACAACTAAAAAAATTGAATTATTTTAAATAAATAAAAATTATTACCTTTTTCCGAATTCTAATTCTTTTTCTAGTTTGTTTTTTTGGCTCTAACTGATATTATCCAGGCTTTTAAGAATGCAAACATAAAAATAGCCATGACTTAAAACAATACGATAACTTTAACTTGCGAAGTTCAAAGTATTCTGATATAGACATTATTAAAGGAGATAGATATAAATTATTTAAATTATACTATAATGAATACATAGTAGAAACATTTATCCATAAATTTCATCTAAATAACTTGTACCGTACTGCACTATCTTTAACCAAGAGTGGATACACAAGTTGAGGGTATTGTGACATGGAGTATTATGCTTCGGGAGTCTAATACTATAATCCAGAAATATTATAATGAAACTTTGATTACAATCTGCAATTGAAAT